TGTTCTGTAAGCCTTCACCTGAAGTACAATAAAATATTAAATTTAAAAAAAAAAAGAATTAAAAAAAAAAAAAAGAGAACAAAAATTTGTTTATTCTCAGAACTTAATGATTCTAAACTGGAGTGTAGGGTTGGCTCCGAATCACTAGGGAACTTTTTCCGAATATCTGTTTCCACCCCCTGCCCACCAGAAGCCCTGTCACGGGGATTCTTTCACCTGTGTCCATGAGCTGTGTCCTACCCTCTGGTGTATTGAATGAAAAATCGTTTTTATCTTTTCAGTTACTTTAAATATTTCTGTGCCCCATAACATATAATGTGGAGCCTCGGTAGCACAGTGGTTAAGAACTATGGCTGTTAACCAAAAGGTCGGCACCAGCCACTCCTTGGAAACTCTATGGGGCAGTTCTTCCCTGTCCTGTAGAGTCATTATAAGTCAGAATCGACTCGATAGCATGGGTTTATAACCTATAATGTCAATCAAATAAAGTTGGTATACATTTATATAAATTTTATTTGACTTGATATAAAAAAGAATGAATTTATCTCTATTTAAGGGGAAAAGGGAAGAAAATGACTCCTAAGTGTGTCTGTGTAACAGTTTTATCCATACTGGAAAAAGTTTTGTTAAATAGTTCTTTATTTTACCTATATATGTACTGTAAATAATATTAGGCTATTTGCAGAATTTATTTTGATGTTAGCTTTGCCTCAAAGAAAAGATCTGTTACAGATTAAAGCAGGGAGGAGCAGCGGAGATGTTAGTAGCCCCCATTTTTCCCTTTGGAGTCTAAATAGCTTGTCTTCGTAGAAAACTTATTTGGAAAAATTAAAAATTAATCAAACCATTACCCCTTGTTGTCAAGTTGTTTACAACTCATAGTGACCCTATAGGACAGTAAAACTGCTTCACAGGGTTTCCAGTGAGCAGCTGGTGGATTCGAACTGCCGACCTTTTGGTTAGCAGCCAAGCTCTTAACCACTGTGCTGCCAGGGCTCCAATCAAACCTCTAGAAATTGTTATTGCTTGTTTATCATAGTTGTCATGTTTGCTTAAATAAGAAGCGTTAACTGTCAAATATTAATGTTCTGAATTTTGATGATCTTCCAGTTACAATCTTTGGTAAATTTGGGGAGGTTTGTTTCTTTTTCCAATTCAGTAAGCTGAATATACATCTATATATAACATACATAGTGTTAATATGTATAATATATATGTAGTGTTGATTTATTTTCCTGTTGTTGGTCTCAAATTACATATTGTGTCACAAAAGATTCTTTTTTAGATTCTCACGTTTATATATATATGTGTGTATATTTTCAAAGTCAAGGCCTGGCTGATAACACTGTTATTGCTAAAGTGAATAAAGTTGTTTGGGACCTAGACCGCCCTCTGGAAGAAGATTGTACCTTGGAGCTTCTCAAATTTGAGGATGAGGAAGCTCAAGCAGTAAGTTTGTATTCATTGTCCATTGAGTTTCAGGATGAGTATTCACATTTGCAGTCTTCTCCAGCCCATTACTACACTCAGTGCTTTATTGATGTCTTGTTGTCATATTTGAAATCTTAATTTCAAAATTCATTTTTGTCCTTCATTTAGGGAACATAATAAAAGTAAGTGCTTGCACTATAAAGTTAAGAGATGAAGTTGAATAAATTTGTTTTAACTACTTGATATTTCAGTGGGAAAAATGTTACAAAAATTTTGTAAAAATTGATGAAGCAGGTAAAAATTGCTTTCAACACTGTATCAATCAACACTTCAGCAAGATGCATACATTCAAATAAGTTTGAACAATATGTAAAGTATTCCCCATCGTATAATTGATTTCCGTATTTTTTCCCATCTTACAATGCACATTTGTTGGAAGTGCACTATAAAAATCAACCTGCATTTGATGGTAAGGTTTTCTTCTTATTTCTCCATAATGGTATACCATGTAAGGAGAAATAAAGTATTTTGTTTCAGTGATGATGGTTTACTTATATATTTTCATCAGTGATTTTCAAATATATTCTGAAGTCAATAAATTTTTTAATACTGTGTTTGTACCTTAATAATAAATCTTAAGAGCATTGGTGAAAGTATATTCGGAATCATCTGAATGACCACATAAATCTAAGTACTGCCATTTGATTTCAGTGTCCATATATGTTTCTCCTTGTGTTTTATAATTGTGTTGTGGGGCCAAATTGTATCCCTTTAATTGGCTTTGACCGATATCATAAAAACAGATGTAGTTCTTAAGTGATGTTCCATGACCAAGAAAAGGCCGATGACAGCATATCTGACGTGGGTAAATAAGACAACCATATTGCGAGTGGTGATTATTCAGGGAAAAAAATCCATCCCATTTAATTATCGATGTTAACTTGAATTTAATTAGTTTGGAAATAACTAAACCAGATGATTTCTAAGGCACAAATACAATTTAGACATTAGAATTTTTTTAAATTGTTTTGACTTTGGGTAGAATCACACCCAGTTTTTAAATTTAAATTTTCATGTATTGTGTTTATTTAAAATAATTTTTATCTCTCTTTCAGATGACCATATTCATTTATAACTTTTATGCCCAGATGTAAACCATCTCATTTTTCTTTGAACTTTCAGGTATATTGGCACTCAAGTGCTCACATAATGGGTGAAGCCATGGAAAGAGTCTATGGTGGATGTTTGTGTTATGGTCCACCCATAGAAAATGGATTCTATTATGACATGTACCTTGAAGAAGGGTAAGTTATGTAACTGGATAAAGAAAAACTCTGAATTATTGCAAGTCCGCTGTAATTAATATGTTATTTTTTAAATCATTCTCAATTAAAGGAGAAATAATAGTCTCTGGACACGCTTTTAGCTTAGTAGTGAAGTCACTTCTCAAGGTTCACCTTTTAGCCAAAGATTAGACAGGCTCATAAAATAAAATGAGACTAAAGGGGCACACCAGCCCAGGGGCAAGGACTAGAAGGCAAGAGGGGACAGGAAAGCTGGTAATAGGGAACCCAAGGTCAAGAAGGGAGAGTGTTGACATGTCGTGGGGTTGTTAACCAATGTCATAAAACAATATGTGTACTAACTGTTTAATGAGAAGCTAGTTTGTTCTATAAACCTTCATCTAAAATACAATAAAAAAAAATTTTAAAAAAAGGAGAAACAGTATAAAGCTCATTGCTTCACAGTCTTCAAGTATTTGCACTATCAAAACTTGAAGCATTGCAATTTAGTTATGAGGTAGTAAAGGCCTTAATGCTCCTCAGCCGAGGGTGGGGGGGTAGGGGGGAGGGAGAGGGTGGGGGGAGGGAGAGGGTGGGGAGAGGCAGAGGGACACTTTGTAGAGAGCTCTGTTGTAGTTCATTGGAGGACTCCAAAGGTATGTTGGGTAATAAAATGAAGCTGATCCTCACCTCTCCTTTAAACGTGGCTACAGTTATAGAGTTGTGAGTATGGGGTCATTAGTGGGAAAGATTTCCATGATGGCCAAGGTAGAGCCACTGAAAGTATAAAATAGAAAAATAATTTTATAAAAATTTTGGTGTAGAACTCTAATCTATGAGGCAAAAGTCTAATTTTTTATAATAGAACATTTCCTCCAATTTGCAGTGTGATTAGAATGGAATCAAAGAGGTTGTACTTTCTTCCCCTTCAGAGGTGTGTCCAGCAATGATTTTACTTCTTTGGAGACTTTATGTAAGAAAATCATTAAGGAAAAACAAGCTTTTGAAAGACTGGAAGTTAAGAAAGAAACTTTACTGGAAATGTTTAAGGTAATTGAACCATAACAGATGGCCTCCACTTTTATATCATTCGATTATGTCACCAGTGGCATCACTAATGCTGGTGCAGCGCGTTAACTCATGTTGTCACCCCTCTCCCCATTGACCTCTTCCCGTACCAGACCATAAAGTATCCTTAGTAATGTTTACTATCAGTTTTAATCATAGAATAATATGTGATAAATATACAGTCGGCCCTCTGTATCCACGGTTTTTACATCCGCGGATTCAACCAACCATGGATCAAAAATATTCAGAAAAAAAAGTGCTAAAAAGCAAAACTTGAATTTGCCGCACACTGAGTACTATGCTGAATCCATGCGATGCAGTGATGTGTAAGCATCCCCTGCTGTAGCCTTCTGTCATTTCATAGGTCCTCAGTCTCTCTCTAGCACTTGTCTGAGCATTGTTCACCTCGCATCTCATTTGTTTGCTACTTATGTGCACCCTCTGTTTCTGTGAAAAAATGCCTCTTAAAAAGCAATTAAGTAGTCAAAGCAATCCCTCAAAGGCTAAGTGTGAGGGGGTTGAGAAGAACAAGAGGAAGGGGTTTCAGGCTAGTAAGGGATGGCTGGCTGGCTATGAAAAGCGCTACAGCCTGAAGAACTTAAAGATCACAGGAGAACTGGCATTGACTGATGCCCAGGCAGCTTCAGCATTCCCAGAAGAGCTCAAGAAATGCAGAGAAGAAAAAGGCTGCCTTCCTGAGCAAGTCTTCAGTTGTGATGAAACCACTGTTTATATAGCATTTTCATTGTGTTAGGCATTATGAGTAATCTAGAGATGATTTAAAGTTTATGGGAGGATGTGTATAGGTTATATACAAATACTGCACTATTTTATATAAGGGACTTGAGCATCCTTGAGGGTACTGGAACCAATCCCCCACTGATACTGAGGGATGTCTATAGATGTAAATTGCTTAAATGTAATACTTCTTAAGTTATATGAATACTAACAGCAAAATTGTTTTGTAAAATCTTTCTACGTTGAATTACATTATTAGTAACTAAGCAGAAGCCTTTTTTGATTTTTCTCCTTTTCCTTTCATTACTACTTCAATCTCAAAAAAGTTACTGATAGAATAGGTTCACAAATACTAATTACCATAATATTGTAGCTAAAAAAAAAAACAAAACAAAACCTGTTGCTGTTGAGTTGATTCTGACTCATAGCAACCCTGTAAGCCAGAGTAGAACAGCCCCATAGGGTTTCCAAGGAGCAGCTGGTAGATTTGAACTGCTGAAATTTTGGTTAGCAGCCGAGCTCTTAACCACTGCGCTACCAGGGCTCCACTGTAGCTAAAACACCAGAAAATTTGACAAAATCGGTGACTATAAAAACACTGGCAACAACTAAAACAACAGCATGTGCTTATAGCACATGCAGACGAAACTACATGATTTGAAGAATGAATGTAATTGGGAAATAATGACAGCTCTGACCAGAGCACATTAAAAAAGTCAAAAAGTAAGTTAGCATAGGGTTTTTAGCCTTATAAGTATATTGATAGATATAAGCTAGGCTTATGAAAAATTTTTTGTTGTTACAACTACAGGGAAATTTTTATAAAAAATAATAAATTTCTGCTGAAACACTGCACAAAAATTTTATAGACAGTCATTTTGGTGTCACCCCCTCTGGCAGTGTTACCCTGCGTGATCTGTACCCACCTAGTTACACCACTTCATGTTACTTAAAGTTGTACTACAGGGCTTTAGTGTACTAAGTTGAAGCCTACTTTGTTTATTAGAAAAATGTAACCATGTTCTTAATACATGAAATAATGAAATATGTATATTCATAAAACGCTTTGATCAGATGTGCTGGAGGAATTGTATTTTAGTTACGTTACTTAGAAGTGAAAATTACTAGAGTGTTTTTATAAAGATAATTTTTTATATTTTCAGTATAACAAATTCAAATGCCGGATATTGAATGAAAAAGTGAATACTCCAACTACCACAGTCTATAGGTGAGAATATCAAATGTCATTAACTGCAACTGTTGCATACATTGTGTTAAATCTTTGTTAAAATTCCTTTCATTTTATCTTTAGGTGTGGCCCTTTGATAGATCTCTGCCGGGGTCCTCATGTCAGACACACTGGCAAAATTAAGACTTTAAAAATACACAAAGTAAGTGATCTACTTAATGATTATATAAACGTATTTGTCTAGCATAGATATGTGTTTAAACTTTTATTGATTTCTCTTTTCTACCATTTTTCTCAGTAGTTTGCATTTGTAAGGATAGAGATTTTTCTCATACTGTCTTCTAACTGTGGGTGCTATATGTCATCAATGTTTCATAACCCAGGTTATCTTAAGGAGTGACTGGCTCAACAGTCATCACCAGAGCACGTGGGGATGAAGGTTGAGGGGTTTCTGAAGTCAGGCAGGCAGGGGCCATTAAGGCTCTAAAAGCTTTGAGACTCATTCTGCGTGTCTGAGTCAATCATTACCCAAGGTATTCTTTGTAACAAAACTAATCCTGCCAATTGTATATTAGTTCATAACCATTTTATGAGTGATTATTACAGTGCACTTTGAATCATGAGAGTAATTGAATCATTTCAAGTTGTTTTTTATTGGTTCATTTTCCATTTTTTGTGTATTCATTTTGTGAGAGATAACCTTGCAGTCAGAGTAATTAACATTCATGGAATTGTAGTTTGAAAAGAGTATTAAGGGGTGGGTGTTTGTGAGGGGAGAAAGCAGCCAGCTTTGTGCTCAGGGATGAGCACGACTACTCTAGCTAGGCCCCAAAGCAATTGTGAGATGTTTACTAAGTGCACTTTTTATGTCATTTTTTTTCTTGTCATAAGGACTAACATGAATTTGACTTATATGTTGATTATGAGAAATAACATCCAATTCTTAAGTATGAGATATTTGCAGATTTAAATGTTGTTTCATGGTTAATCTTTGTTTTCAGAATTCTTCCACATATTGGGAAGGCAAAGCAGATATGGAAACTCTCCAGAGAATTTATGGCATTTCATTCCCAGATCCTAAAATGTTGAAAGAGTGGGAGAAGTTCCAAGAAGAAGCTAAAAACCGAGATCATAGGAAAATTGGGAGGGTATGCTAAAGAACAATGGCGTCTTGACTGAGTTTTTGTCATTTCATTTTAAATTTGAAATTTAGTATTAAGTACTAGGAATTTTCTAGTATGATGGAATAGAGATGCCTCTTGAAGAGATCTGTAACTTTCAAGTAACTATGGTACTATGTCCCGTATGAGTGTACTTACTCACTGTACACATTTTCTTTCTAGAGTGTGCTCAAAATGTATTTTAACTATTCCTTTTACTAAGAACAAACACTGATGACCTGCCATTTCTGTAAAAGAAGCATAGCAGCATTTTATGGAGCTGGGAAATCACTTAGTTCCACTGACTCATTTTAAAGATGCAGAAACTGAGTCCCAGAAAGATTAATCCACTTGTTGCCCACAGTGACACAGTGAGTCACTGATGGATTCTGTGGTGTCATTTATCCCTGTAGTCCCTTCATGTCTTCTAAATTAGAAGTTATTTTTGGCAAGAATATTCCTTCCTACCATAGTGTTCTCTGTGTGCCAGGGGTCCTCCGCTGTTAGATTATGACACTTCAGCAGGAGGCAGCATCCACTGCCATGCCCCCTTGATTGCCTCAAATAAGTTCCAGCAATAACGAAGCAATTAGTGTGGCCACTCCCTGAGATTTTGGGGCATTTGATGAAGGGGTGGTTGGAAGCCGTTGTATGTTTCCTTCACCATGGCCCAAAGTCAGGCAACTTTATCTTCTATTTCAGTATCAGTGTATTTTTCCCTGTCTCCTTCCTACCCCTATTACTGAAAAGAAAAAGAAAAAACAAAACCCAGATCTTGGAGCTTTGAGGAGTTAAAACTATGAGAGCTCCTGCTGTGAGTAGTGGAAGAGAACTGAGAGACCCCTGCTCCATTTCATGTTTGGTACACTTGACTAGATTCAGGAGGGTAACAGGCAGGAAGCATACTTGTGCTAAGTTGTAAACCAGATGCAGTTCTGTACCATTAAATTATGTATCAGAAATACTGATGGGTTTTCTTTGATACAGGAGTGTTCTGAGCTCAAGAACACTAAAGTTTATGTTGACGTTATATATGTATATAAACATCCTTTGCTTTCATTTTACTCAGGATCAAGAACTATATTTCTTCCATGAACTCAGCCCTGGAAGTTGCTTTTTCCTGCCAAAGGGAGCCTACATTTATAATACACTTATTGAATTTATCAGGGTAAACCATATACATTGTTTTCTTCTGTAGATTTAGGCTGTAAGATGATTTTATTAAATTAAGATCTGCTAAAAGGAAGGAGAATCTTGTATTTGAAAAGAAACATTTAAAAGAGTAAAAATGTGAGTCTGCTATCTTATAAAATATTTTAAAAAATGATTTCTTCCTAATACGCAATTTTGTCTGTATATGCGGATATATATACAAGACAGAAAAGAAGCTGGTAAGCTTGGAGTGGGACCTTTACACAGGCACTCTCTGCCCTCTTTGACCATTTATTTGTATTTTCCTGGAAAAAGCAAGTTAGTCTTTACATTGTCTTTTTTTTCTGTTTTAAATTATGCAGGCTTTTAAGCATAAGTTTAGTATAGAAAGTAGTATAACCAATATCTGTGTACTCACCATCCAGGTAGAACAAATTTTTACATTGTGGTATATTCATTTCTGGCTTTTTGTTAAAGAAATAAAATATGACACATAGAGTGGAAAGCCCCCTTTGGGACCCTTTTCTGATCCATTCCCTCCTTTCCTAGAAGAAACTATTATTATGAAGTTGGTATGGATCCTGTGTGTCTATGTTATTTTACACGTCCCCTACATATTGGACCCTTAAACTATTTGTTTTTGTGTGCTTCACATTTACACACATGAAGTCTCACTGTATATTAGTCTGCATTGTAACTTTTCTTTTTTTTTTTTAGATAATACAAATCAAATTTGTCCATTTTCACTGCTGTATATTATTTTGTAACTATCACAATATGCCCATTGCTTTATTGATGGACATTGATGTAATTTCCAATTTTCATATATTACTAATACTGCATTAGCATCCTTTTCAAGGCCTCCTTATGTACATATACAGGAATTCCCTCTTTTGCATATACCTACAAGGGGAATTTCTGAGTCATATGTGTGAAAACCCTGGCATAGTGTTTAAGAGTTCAGCTGCTCACCAAAAGGTCGGCAGTTCTAATCTACCAGGCACTCCTTGGAAACCCTGTGGGACAGTTCTGCTCTATCCTGTAGGGTCACTATGAGTCAGAATTGACTCGATGGCAATGGGTTTTTTGTTTGTTTTTTTAGTATATGTGTATCTTGAACTTAACTTGATAGAACAAATCTGCTTTTCAAATTTTTATTCTTACCAGAAAGTATGAGAATTTTTTTCCCCTATACATGTGTTCTGCCTTTTTTCTAACAGAGTGAATATAGAAAACGAGGATTCCAGGAGGTAGTCACCCCAAACATTTACAACAGCCGACTCTGGATGACCTCGGGCCACTGGCAGCACTACAGCGAGAACATGTTCTCCTTTGAGGTGGAGAAGGAGCTATTTGCTCTAAAACCCATGAACTGCCCTGGACACTGGTATGCAGCAGCTTTGAGTTTCTGTGAAGGATTTTCCTGTGCTATAGTTAGCTCTAGATTGCGTTCCTTCCTTTGAAAGAATTTTTGTTAAAAACAAATTACGTAATAGAAGAGTATTTAAATACAACTGTACTGTGGTATTCCAATATCTTCTGTGCCCGATTGGACCCCCCAGAACTATAGACATTCAAGATGGTACTAAAGCTGGAGCAGTGAACAAGGCAGAATGTAAAACAGGGAGACTGAATCTGGACCTTAGCATATTCTCTAGATTTTTTTTAAGAAGCATGTTCATCATAACCTACTGCTAATGAATTGATATCTTTGGGAAATTTTTGCCTTGAGGCTGTTCCACTTCCCATCCTTCTTAAAAGTTAGATGGAAACCAAGTTGGGAGCACTAGGGAGAGCTTTGGGTGCAAGTAGCTCAGGCCCAGCCCCATGGGCAGTGCCCACAGCTCCAAGCAAGAATTCAAGGGCAGACGAGGTGAGAGAGACCAGGAATCTCCATGAGGAGCCTGGGTTGTAGGCTAGGGATCCAGCTAAGTCCATTCTTAGTTTTCCCAAATTCTTCCAAGTTTCTGAAGCACTTTCAGACTAACACTTACAGGAGTGACGGGAAAGCACATCTAACTTTGGCTGGCAGTGTTATAAATGATTTGTATGTGGCTAAGGTTTTTTTTTTTTTTTTTTTTTTTTTTAAGTATGAGCCTTAAAGGCACTCCTTAAATTAATGTAAATATTGAGCACTAGGACTTGACTTCAGGCTTTTGGGAAATTTTT